AAAGAGGCAGCCATGGAACTGATAAACGGTTCGAGTGTTCGCGTCCCACCCGTCTACTCTTATATGGCGAGATCCTAAGCTAACTTCGCCCCCGTTAAACGCGGTTTTTAAAGTTACCCCCTTTGTTTTTGAAACCCACGATAACCACTGAAAGGCCTGTTCCCCATAATGATTCGTTTTACGCGGTCTAAACCCCTCCTCACTATTTCTAATAATCGGAAATCCCGTCGGCATTTTTTGCATTAAAGACCATAAATAAAGCGCGTTTGCGTCGTACCCCTTAATTGCCTGTACCACCTTATTACTATTCCCCCTAATGAACGTTTCACCCTTTTCGTGATGTCTATGAAAAATAATGGAGGGGCCCCCTACGATATTATTTCGGATTGTTTTATGTAACTCTGATTCGCGCTCGGAACACAAAGAAAAAGAAACGTTTTCGGGAAGTGTTTTGAATAAGTATTTTAAGGTTACCCCCGGGACAGAAATCGCATCTTTAAAAATATCAACCCCTAAATTTTTGTAAAAATTAGTTTGCTGCTCGAGCGCTTCGATAAACGGTTTTACATCGATATTGTTATACCAAATAAGATAATCTTTAAAAGTTTGCATCCCCTTCTCTACCCAAATTTGCCTACACGTCGCGTACTCCTCGTCTGAAATGTTACAATTTTTTAATGATGAAAAAAAGGCCGAATGCGGAGGTAAAGACGTTTCTTCTAAGACGGCTAAATCTTTTACATATTCATACGGAAAAAATCCCTTGGTCTCTTTAACATTATACGCGGCTAGATATTTACTATAGCTAAACCCAGGTGCTAGATAATTAACTATATCTAAGAACTTTAATTTATTAGTTGATATACACATAAAATTATTATTTCTTTTAACTACATATTTAAACGGTGTTTGTTTATCTTCTACGTCGTCTTCGTCATCGTTACAACTAGCTCTAGGTCCCTCCTCTAACCCCTCTTCTGTGTTTGAATAAGCTAAAAAGTACTGAATAAAATACGGCTTAACGAGATTTATATCATATTTTCCTGAATTAAACCCTATAACCGGCATTTGTCGCAAATACTCGTCTAATCTACCGCTAAGAAACCTATCAAACCCTTTGTCGTTCGACTTATTATCACTACCCCTAGCTTTAGGTGGAAATAACTTCCTGATTTGCTTAAAAACAGGCTCGAACTGTTTTTTCAAAATGCCATAAGCTGCCTCGGCGATTATGTGGAGTCTGTCAATAACTCTAGTCACTAATTCTTTAGGGTCACCAGTCGAAATAAAACAGATGGGTTCGACGAACCCATCTACGTTTGAGGCGACAGAGCAAGACAAAGGCACGTGTTTGGCAACGCTTTTTGTAACTCTACCTAACGTGGGTAACTCGGAATGGTCGAAATAGCATTCGAAATCGTAAGTTGCTCGGAAGGGATAAACAAAGTTACTATCTACAACTAACCCATAGGACGCTAAAAACTCCCAGATTGTTTGCTGTGTCTGATAAAGCCCTCCCTTATACCTATCTACTGGTTTCCCCCCATTACACCCTTTCACGTGTCTGTTTATTTGTTGAACGGTGGGCCATAATTTGTTACACACAGAACACGCGAAAGAGTGACCCGCCCCACCAATATTATTAATGTACATAAACTGATTTTGAAAAAATAAAAGATACACAGTCTCCCTAAACCTATCACTACTTCTAAGTTTCGGAAAAAGGATCTGGTTTTCGTCAAATTCAAAAATCTCAATATTTACACTAAAACAGGACTCTAAGAGGGGAATTTCGACCAACCTAACCCCGCTAAAATTATCCAAGGTCCCGAGACCTTGGTGCGCTTGCCACTGTTTCGCGAGTTTTAATGTTCGCTTTCTAAGATCTGTTAAGGGTGCTCCTAAATGTCTGGCTAAACATCTAAAAAAGGAAAAATTGTCTGTGTAGGGTTTTGAATTTGAATCCTGTTGTAACATGTTAATGGCGTGATTATGTTTAATAAAGTCAGGAATGTCTGTAAGAAGGCATGTGGGTGAAGCTTTGTCTGTGGTCGGGTGTAAGTCTACTGCATCTCCCCTAAGGTCGTCTACAGGAAAAATAGTGGTGTGTGAATTAATGTTACTGTCATTGTTAGTCTTTACGCGTTTGTTGTTTGTTATGTCGTCATACGTCGTATGTCGTTTTAAGGGTCTAGTGTTGGTCGCAGTGTGGTCTGTTTGACTCGCTGATGGGAGTTGGACAGTATGTGTGTCGGTCACTAATGTGGGTTGGAGTGTTTGTCTGTTGGTTGCTGATGGGGTGTCGGTCGGTGATGTTTGGTTGTTGTGTGCTGTCTTATAATGGTTCGTTAAATTACTTAGTCTTGTAAATACTTTCCGCATGTTGTGCAGGGATGTCTTTGTCATCCGTGTGCAGAGTCTTGATGTCTTGTCAAATCGTTTCTGCGGGTGAATACCCGCTCGCATATGTCACACTTGTTACGGCTCATGGCTGGATGGGTGGTAGACTGGGCGGTTTGCATTATTGACGAAGTGTCTAGTGTGTGGATGCTTGGGTAGGTCGGTGGCTGTAGAATAAAAATAAATACATAAAATAAAAATCATAAAATAAATTACATACTTAAAACAAAATTAAAACTGAACGTACCTATGGGTTTGAATGTGTAAGCTGAACGTGAAGTTAGCTGTGTGTGGAGATCCGAAATGGTGTAGTTGGATGTAGCTGGATCGTTTGGTTCAGTGGATGCCTCGGGGATGGGTAGGTAGATCAATAGGTTCGGTCGATGGTTAGTCTGTCTCGTAGGGTCGGTTGTGCACTAAAAAGGAATACAGTTGCCTGCTTATTTAGATACATATTTATTTAAAGGATATGTAAAGGATAATTCATACTATTAACCTTACCTCGGTGTACGATACAAAATTAAATTAATTAATTAAAAGGTATTTTAATAGGGTTAGCACCCTTAAAACAAAAGTAATATTAACCTTACCTTTAATAGAATAAACACACACAAAAGAGGTGGTCCGTGGAGGGTTAGGTAGAAGTGATGGTTGATAAAGCTGGCGTGGGTTAGTCTCAGGAGTCAACAGAGGTCGCAGGCTGGATAAGTCGCGGTGAAGCTTGGTGTGAAGTCCGAAGTCGAAGTGTTTAGAACACAATTTTCGCGGTCATTTATACGATTGCTCAGCGTAATTACACCACCAGCTGTCGCACAACAGCTGTTGCATAATGACCTAAGTGCTTCGCGGAAAGCCACTTAATGTACGTCGTTAATTACCATACCCCCCGGTGGGATCGCTTCGCGAACCCACATAAATCATCATGACCCGTCAAATCGAGCGGGGAAAAACCCACGATGCATGACCAAATTAATTAGGCGGACCATCATTTGATGGCCCGTGGGTGGAATCAATATTAACGCGCCCGTTGTCCAGTGTTTGACAAGAACAAAGGATTGCGGATCGATAAGTAACAGATGTGGTTAAATGGATGTTCTATTTTCGGTAACCGTTCGTTGTGTTGCTGAATGGTCCCTATACAAAGTCCACGCTAGTGTTAGTCTTTTATTTAAATTCAAACTAATTATAAAATAAAATTAAAAATAAACAAAATAAAAATAATTAAAAAGTAAACAAATAATCAAATTATGTAACTCGTTAATAAAAAATAAAAAATTACACAATATAAACAAAGTAATTAAATTAAACAACAAGTAAACAAACAAATTAAACAATTATGTAATAAAAACAAATAATCAAATTACGTAACTAGGTCAAAAATTAATTAAAATTTTAAAAATTCATTAAAACTCATTAAAAAACACATTAAAATTACGTAACTAGGTCAATGATTACGTCACAAGGTCACTGATTACGTCACAAGGTCAATGATTACGTCACAAGGTCACCAAAAGGTGACTCACCCTTCACTGCTCCGCCAACCCCAGTTGGCGTAGTATTTTACTATATGTCTTTGCGCCTGCGGTGCATCCTGCTCACCCACCCTGCGGCAGCTGGCGTAGTATTTTACTATATGTCTTTGCGGCAGGCTGCGGCAGGCTGCGCATCCTGCTCCGAGTATTTTACTATATAACCTTTGCGCCTTCCCACCACCTGCTCCGCCAAAAATACTAACCAAAAGCGACCTAATATACTACTACCAGGATATGGTCACATGACTAGTTTAAGTTCACATGACTAGTTTAAGATCACATGACTAGTTAATGGTCACATGACTAGTTTAAGGTCACATGACTAGTTAATGGTCACATGACTAGTTTATGGTCACATGACTAGGCAACTGCTACGTGACCGGACTATAGTCATATGACTAGCAGCAATATAAACAGAAAGTGATATTTCAACGCCAAGGGCAGACAAAGGTACAGAATATAGTCCAAGTAGAGACAGAGCAGTTTTTAAACCCAACGGGATCCGAACCTACTAATCTACTAGGATATCATCCAACCATTTTGCTATCGTCACGAATAAAAGTTAATTATCTTTTAGACCTGACGTCCGTTAGGACAGATGCAGTAGAGCTCATCTGTTCATCTGACCTCGGTATACCACCTGGCAGTGGTTCTTTCAGACATTTTTCTCCGGGAGGGGCCACTTAAAACCTTCGATGGGGGGGGGGGGGGGGCTGACTTAAATTCCCGGGGGTTGGGGAAGGTGCCCTACACTGGTTAAATTATGAATTTTGTATAGAAGTTCTATTTCGTTCGTGACGGGGCGGGGGGGGGGGGGGGTAGATGTGTTTAAAGGGGGAGACAGTACCCCCCTTCCCCTGGGGACTCTGGGAGTAGGATCAGCTCTATGATGAGCCGAGTTTATTTTCCCCTATTCGAGTCAGGTACCCATTTTAACTGCGTGAACTCCAAGACACGAACTGGAACCTTTGAAATTAGCAACGGCATGCCCTACCACCTCGACCACACATATCGTCACATGACTAATCGTATACTAAGCTACGGTCACATGACCCGTGCTGACGTCACCTTCCGGATCCTTGTTGTTGTAGAAGTAAGGCGAGCACCGTAAGAGAATCTCCTGCAGTATGATGCCGAAGCTGAACACGTCGGCCTTCTGCGTGCCCTTGTGCGGCCGTTTGTGCATGCGCAGAATTTCTGGTGCGCACCACAGCAAACCTGGTGGGATACAGCGAAACGTAAACATATCTGTGTCACGTGTTGACCTTTTGTAGTGTGTAACATGTATAGAAAAACATTAAATCACTTTTGCATGCAAAATATATCATAAACATTGACCTACTTTTGGGTACAGTACAACATGTATAAAAATATTGACCTACTTTTGTGTACCGTACAACATATATCAGAATTATATACCATATATACCTACTTTTGCCCGCAACATGTATCAGAAACTGTCACCTACTTATGCGTTATTCCAGAAATTTTGACCTACTTTTTAATGTAACATGTACCAGTACCAGAAGCTTTGACCTACTTTTATATGTAACATGTACCAGAAGCTTTGACTTACTCTTGCATGCAACATGTATCAGAAACATTGACCTACTTTAATATGTAACATGTACCAGTACCAGAAGCTTTGACCTACTTTTATATGTAACATGTACCAGAAGCTTTGACCTACTCTTGCATGCAACATGTATGAGAAACATTGACCTACTATTGAAATATCCCCTGTTGTCCACGTCTCCCTCTGCCCCTACTTTCCTGTAAGACACAATGGCGCCGAAATCCGTGATTTTTAAAACCCACCGGCTGTCGATCACACAGTTGCTTGACTTTAGGTTGCCATGGGAACGAAGCGGTGACTTATGAATGTACTCCATGCCCTGCACATATACAATGATTTATGACTGTAAATTTCTTATTACTTATAAATCTTTGAACTGTTATATAGGCTAATAGCTTTATTTAAAGTCTGTGTATGATATTACTATAATTTAAAAAAAAAAGCATCAACAGTTTTCATTTAAATGATACAAACTAATAACACTCTAAATTATAAGGTTTTTGTGTTTTATAAATTGAAAATTTGAAAAGAAAAAAAAAGTGAACCAATTGTTTCCGCTGGGGCTTGAACCCAGGACCTTCCGCGTGTTAGGCGGATGTGATGACCACTACACTACGGAAACTCACATGTGTTGAAATGCACGTTACTACGACTTTTTAAAAATCAAACGGTTATCAGTAACTTTTGCCTGTACTCTAACGTTAAGGAGATTATGTTTATCGGTTGGTTGAGGCATACACAACCAAACAACAGATGGCGCAGTTTTCCCGATAGTACAGTCAACATTAACTTGAAATCTTTTTTTTTTCGTGTAATAGTAGAATTATGTAACAGTTTGTTGTAAATGTTAATGCATTTTTTAAAAACAATATATAGGATATATATCCCCTTTACAGAAAATATAAAAATAAGCTATAGGCCTATATGAATTTATTAATTATATATTAATTTTAATTATACTATAGGAGGGTGGGAGGCTACACATATTTTAGCCAGTGCGACGAAATCAAGATTCTGCCTGTACATGTGGATAAACGTAGATGGTGGTGACGTACCATCAATCAAACATAAACTAAACTATAAAGTCGGTAGCGATGCATTCACACACCCTCCATTACCCCCTTCACCCACACTTGCACACCTATTAGTGAACTCACCAACGAAGTCAAAGCCTTCCTGTTCCATTTTAACGGTTAAAAAATTTCTAACACTGATGAATGATCTGTGACACAGTGATCACTCCCCCCCCCCCCCCCTCTTCCACCTCCCACCCACACCTCCCTATCAACAGAGGAATCATTTTCACAACCTCCGTATAATAACGGTATATATTTACATTGATTTTCCGTCACATAGTAGCCATAGATAGATGATAAGACACTTTGCACCCGTCCCTTAACCCCCCTCCCCCACCCCCACGGTCGTTCTCAAATCAATAGAAATAAATTTACCACCCTCCCCTCCATCCCACTTTAAAAAATCTTCGCCTGCTGAAAGGAGCTCTCTCATTTTTGAAAACCAGTTTTTACCCTCCCCGTTCCACTTCCTCTTCAACTCATTGAAACAGAACGCGTTCATGGAGGCACGTCCTATCTCAAAGCCAAAATGTAATACACTAATTGTATTGAAGGAGGGGGGGGGGAGGTAGGAAGGGAGGGGGAGGGAGGGACATAAAAAAAATCTCGTCCGGTCCACCCATTTCTTTTTCTTTGTATGGCTCGGGCAGAACCACAAAAGTAAATCAAATGAATTTCCCCCTTGACGACGCAATCAAACTGACTGGTCATTCATATGGTTCACGTTGGCCGGAGAATCACGATCGATTGGGGGGTGCGTGGGGGAGAGGCTCGGACCAACCCTAACCCTAACCAAGGGTAAATATTTCTCATTAGGGGAGACGACCGTGAATGTCCCGCAGCGAATGGGGGATGTGTTGTGACGTGCCGCTGGGCAGAAAATACGATCATACATATCATTATATGTATGTGTATGTATGTGTGAATGTGTTTCTATGTGTATATAGGCTATTTGTGAATGTGTGTCGATTATCTATGTGTATGTATATTTGATTGTGTTTAGGTTATATATGTGTATGTATTTGTGAATGTGTTAGGTTATCTATCTGTATATAATGTACACCCAAACTCAACATTAGGAGGGTATGTTCGTTATGAGTAATGCCTTACTATCATAGACACAATTAAACTATCTAATACATCATCATATAGCATTAATTGAAAACGTTCTTTTAATTTAGTGAATAAGTTTTTTTTTACAAATTAATTGGTAATTTAATTAGTGTGGAAGTCAGGCTGAAGAGTTGGTTTAATTAACATGGAGGTAAAAATATGTTAAATTTTATTTGATTGAAACCAAAACGTAGCTTTAATATAATCCGAACAAAAGGTAAAGTTAAGGTTGTTTTCTAGTTTCTTTTACACTGACGGCAGAATTGGTTTGATAATCTTAAATGTTGGCGTATTTTTTTCACTGGCGTCTTTGGTTTAGGGTGAGTGGCCTCCCCCCCCCCCTCCCTCGTCCCATCTCTTTCTAGGGCAGGTCGAAAATATGGCGGTCCAGGTGACTAGTTAAGGGGTCATCTATAAACAACGTCACACGGTTAGGGGGGGGGGGATTGTAGGAAAAAAGTCACAGGAAAAATAAACACAGGAAAAAAAACCACAGGAAAAAAAACACAGAAAAAAAGTCGCAGGAAAAAAAGTCACAGGAAAAAAAGTCACAAATATATATTTGCTTGAAATTTGTTAATACTTTTATGTATAAAATATTTAAAGAGTGCAAATTAACTGAGGATTAATCAAATGTAATGTAATGTGTGTAGGTTGTATACGCATGGTAATTTTTATAATTCATCTACAAATATTTAGTATGAATTATGTAGATTGTAATTATGTAAAACATAATATTGATAGCATTTAATAGAATGTCCCAACGTCCTCGGTTTTCATCGTGGTTGTTTTTTTTAAAATACTCACATTGAATTACTGTGAAATGGTAAGTTCATCTGACTTGCTGCCCTCAACTCATGACAACAATAGTTATGATTAGTTCAACCACCTTTACTGCCCACATTTATCACGCTCATTACATAACAAAACAGGATCAAAACAGAAAGCCGACAAGGTTCAAAGGCTGTCAATTGACGCATAACGTCCACAACACACAATATGTTCGGACAAGGCCGACTGAGGATAGGCCGACCAGAGAATAGCCTACGGCAAAACATATGCAAAACACAATGATGTGCCTAAATTTCTTTTATAACTAGCTTTCTACCGCGTATTTAACTAAATACTAACAAAAGTTGAGATTGTTGTGTAAATTATCTTAGAGTTTTTTACGTACAATTGTTTTAAACCATTATGCTTTTAAAGAATATAAATAATATATGCTATCAAAAAATACAAACCACAACAATAAACATACAAAATTTTATAATTATCAACAAATAAATCAAATTAATTCTGAAAAGATTTTTGTGACTTTATTTCTGTGACTTTTTTCCGATAAAATTTTTCCATTGTGACTTTTTTTCTGTGACTTTTTCCTAGCAAAAACTGTGACTTTTTTCGGTGTTTTATTTTCCTGTGACTTTTTTTCCGTTCACCACGGGGGAGTGGGGGGGGGGGGGGGGGGGAAGGGGTAGGGCTTTTGTGATGGCTTGTGACGAGGGGGAAGGGGGGGGTTTCAGAAAGTATGGAAATACATTTTACATTTTAAAAAACGTAATGTAACAAACTGTGATAAACTGTTACAAACTGAATCGGTTTCCATATTTCGTGTTCTTTTAAAAACAATAAATGGCAACTTTGAGGTTGGTTGAGGTTACTTTAGTGGTGGTCTGTCGACTTATGAAGAAGAATTGTGAGATGGGGGAGTGATGGTAAAAAACGCTTTAAAAACGTGCCATCGTTTCTTAATAACACATGGTAAGATACTAGTGAACGAGTGACATCAAACCAGCCTGACCGTTAAGCCTGAGAATAATTAAATGTAAACATTCACGGCGGAACTGAACACAACTCACCCTGGCAAGGTCAAGGGCGAAGGAGAGCTTGAACATCCAGTTGAGCTTGATGTCGTCGTTCTCCAGCACGTCCTGCAGGCTGCCCTTGGAGCAGTACCGGAACAGCACGTAGCTGGAGCCCGGGGTGGACGACACGTGGGCTCCGATAAACTGGTTGACGTTGTCGTGGGAGAGCTCCTTCACCTGGGGACATAGACGGTGGGTTGGTTTTTTTTGGTGATTAGGGGGTGGGGGTGGGTGGGGGTATGTCGGGGTGGTTTATCGTATGTATGAGATGTTTGAGTCTCATGTGTGAACCATTCTGACACGCCAACCAGTCTCACACACCAACCCAGTCTTACACAACAACCAGTCTCACACTCAGAGTTTCTTCCAGGCATCTCTTCCGCCCCCCCCCTCCCCGAACGAAATGAAATTTATATAATTTATATAGAAAATATATATTTTTAACAGTGTCCGCCCCGCCCCCCCCCCCCCCCCCCGAAGAAAGTTTACCGCCCCCGAAAATTTTTAAGTGCCCCCCCCCGGAGAAAAAAGTCTGGAATGGAAGAAACACTGCTCACACGCCAACCAGTCTCACACGCCAACCAGTCCGACAACCCGCTTACCGTCTTGAGGTCCTGGAACATCTCCTTCATGCTCAGCTGCACGTGCGTCCACCTCACGTGTTTGACGGCCACAACCATGTCCTGGGGAGGTCAAGGTCAAAGTTAAACCAAGAGGTCAAGGTCAACAATGAGACCTATGGCAAAACAAGAGGTCAAGGTCATACCGGCCTTCACTTTTGGCAACTGTATTAAAACTCTTACCTTATAGTTCCCTATAACTCTCACCTTATAGTTCCCTATAACACCTTATAGTTCCCTATAACTCTCACCTTATAGTTCCCTATAACTCTCACCTTATAGTTCCCTATAACTCTCACCTTATAGTTCCCTATAACTCTCACCTTATAGTTCCCTATAACACTTTATAGTTCCCTATAACTCTCACCTTATAGTTCCCTATAACTCTCACCTTATAGTTCCCTATAACCCTTACCTTATAGTTCCCTATAACTCTTATCATTATAGTTCCCTATAACTCTCACCTTATAGTTCCCTATAACTCTCACCTTATAGTTCCCTAAAGTTACCCAACTCTCACCTTATTGTTCCCTATAACACCGTATAGTTCCCTATAACTCTCACCTTATAGTTCCCTATAACTCTCACCTTATAGTTCCCTATAACCCTTACCTTATAGTTCCCTATAACTCTTATCATTATAGTTCCCTATAACTCTCACCTTATAGTTCCCTATAACTCTCACCTTATAGTTCCCTATAACTCTCACCTTATAGTTCCCTATAACCCTTACCTTATAGTTCCCTATAACTCTTATCATTATAGTTCCCTATAACTCTCACCTTATAGTTCCCTATAACTCTCACCTTATAGTTCCCTAAAGTTACCCAACTCTCACCTTATTGTTCCCTATAACACCGTATAGTTCCCTATAACTCTCACCTTATAGTTCCCTATAACTCTCACCTTATTGTTCCCTATAACACCGTATAGTTCCCTATAACTCTCACCTTATAGTTCCCTATAACTCTCACCTTATAGTTCCCTATAACTCTCACCTTATAGTTCCCTGTAACCCTCACCTTATAGTTCCCTATAACTCTCACCTTATTGTTCCCTATAACTCTCACCTTATAGTTCCCTATAACTCTCACCTTATAGTTCCCTATAACTCTCACCTTATAGTTCCCTATAACTCTCACCTTATAGTTCCCTGTAACCCTCACCTTATAGTTCCCTATAACTCTCACCTTATAGTTCCCTATGGGAGCGTAGAGCATCGTTTTGTCCAGGCTACAGTTTGACCCCAGTCCCAACGTGCCTCGGGTTTCCTGGTTAAATAAAAAAACATCTTTTCCGTTACAGGGTACCAGGAGAACATAGTTCGGTTTATCGCAGCGTTAGTTTTAAGCGATTGTGGTTTTAGGTTTAGGGTTAAGGTTAGTTAAAGATACAGATTGAGACGATGAAGGTCCAGAGTTAAGTATATTTGCTCCCCCCCCCCCCCCCTTCTACCCCGAGAAGCTACTGTAATACAACAACATAGCCGTGGCCCTAACACGACAGCTACAAAAAACAAGATACCCAACGATGGTCTTTAATTTAATACAAAAAATCAAGAATCGAGATCTTTTACCGAAGGTCTCGAGTTCGAATCCGGGTCCAAGTCAGTAGAACGTCCCTGAGTCCACCCAGCAATGATGAGTACCTAGCTCATGTTAGGGAAGGTAAAAGCGGCTGGGCAAAGAAACAAGAACTTTACTTCATCAGTCAAAAATGTTCACTAAAAGTAAAGATGGTTCTTTACTTTTTACTTAAAGCTACAGATATAAATGTAAAAAAACCCATAAAGTTTACATCATAAGCTATTATAATGGAAAATAATCTAAACTCATTCTTTTATTTACTAGGCTAAAAATTTTGAAACTCAAGTTAGACTTTTGTTTTCTTTCTTACCCCCCCCCCCCCCCCCCTCTCCCCTCACTGCCCTCCCCGCGGTGACGTCACGTGACTATGCCCACCGTAGGAAATGTCAAATCCTGTATTCAATTAGCCACCGTGGACAATGCCACACCCCCGGGCCACAGGCTGACCTCTGGTTTTGTGCCTCGAGAGATTTTTTTTTTTTACATTGGGATACTTCTGCTGGCGTCAGAGACTCCGCCTAGCATTGACGCCGTCCTTACTAAACAATGGTGACCTTCACAAGAAGTGACGCAATGTTTGCATGAAAACTTATACCACCAGATGTGAGGCTATCTTAACGAAAGAAATAATTTGGTTTTAATTAGAAGTAAAAATCTTATTTCCAGCATTTCTTCTAGACTTTTTTTTCCGGAGAGGGGGGGGGGGGCACTTGAAATTTCGGGACGGGGGAGGTAGGGGGAAACTAAAATTTCCGGGGGGGGGGGGGGCGGACACTGTTAAAAGTAGATATTTTCTATATAAATTCCATTTCGATAGGGGGAGGGGGGGGGGGGGGGGGTGGCTGGAAGAAACTCAGCTCATTTGTCATGAGCAACGAAGGGAAAAGAGTAGGTAGAATAATAAGTCATTTGATAATGTTCGCTCGATGTTATGCGATACAATAATAAGTGATTTAAACTTTTGAATAATCAATGTTGGTTCGCTGTAATTTAAACGACACACGTCTGCATTAATGCTACCAAGCAATGACTCGCTGGCTCCTAAAGGAAAATAAGAACCTAAAAAAGTTTACTTTAGTAGAATAAATGATACGAAGTGTTTCTTTCAGGCGTCTTTAGATGCAAAATTAGAACTACGGTTAAAGTTTGGGTTTGGGGGTAAGGTCATATAGATTTAGGCAAGGTTAAGATTAGGGCGAGGGTTATTAGTTATACTGAAGCTGGCAATACTACTGCCCACATAGAGAAATTTGATACATTACTGTAAGTACCTAACGACTACGACTCTAGAAAAAAATTAATGGTAAAAACTGAATGAAAGATTAACGAGCCAAATATACGGGTCTGGATGGAATGTAATATTGACTTGCCCAAATTATATCATTGACCGAGCTATAAGCCTAGCCCTAATCTTGACCCTAGTTTTAAATCCACGTGACGCGGCACTAATTGTGACCTATGCTAACATTGACCTTAATTTAATCCAATATAGTGCAACACTCTAGTAAACCCTAACTCTAGCAACTTAAACTGGCTGAACACAACATGGAATACTATACGGCAGAGTGTGTTATAAAACATCTGCACACTATCATTGCTTTCTTCCTAAACATGCACGACCATAGGCAGCATCTAGTACTCATCTTAGTATTGATCAACATCTAGTACTCATCTTGGTACTACTCAGCATCTAGTACTCATTGTGGTACTACTCAGCATCTAGTACTCATCTTAGTATTGATCAACATCTAGTACTCATCTTGGTACTACTCAGCATCTAGTACTCATTGTGGTAGTACTCATATCTCATCTTGGTACTCATCAACATCTAGTACTCACCTTGATACAACTAGCCACTACTCACCTTGATACAACTAGCCACTACTCACCTTGATACAACTAGCCACTACTCACCTTGATACAACTAGCCACTACTCACCTTGATTCTACTAGCCACTACTAACCTTGGTACTGCTAGCCACTACTTGATACTGCTAGCCACTACTTGATACTGCTAGCCACTACTTGATACTGCTAGCCACTACTCACCATTCTGACCAGCCGCTTCTTGGTGCTGCCGTTGCAGGTGTTGCCGTTGCTGAAGGTCATGTTGCCGATGGCCTTCACCTTCCGGCGCTTGACGTCCTTGTCGTCCACGAGCCAGTCCTTGTTGCCGTCCACCGTCTGCTGCCTGTGTTTCCTGCCAGACGACAAGGGTTTTTGACTGCTCCTTTTACCCACGGGTCGAATGGAAGAGGGGGGAGGGGCGAACATACACGACTAGATGCGGGATGGACTTATTTTTTTTACTTTTCCGATCCCTCACATTACCAGGACTGATCTTTAGTTGTAAAGCCAAATATCTACAGTTTGCGAACGATCGCGAAACCGAAACTCTCGAGTTTGATTTCCCGTCGCGAGATCATTTTAGCCTCCGTCAGCTCACCCAGCTCGGTTAGATAGCTAACTCAAGTTAGGGAAAAGTAAAGGCATAGAAGAACTGACAACACTGTCCATTCATTTTCCGAGGTCAGCTAAACAATGCATGGACTCTAAACATCTGCCAAACTATGAGACTCGAGAAGGCAGAGTTTCTTCCAGGAATCTCTTCGGAAAGAAAGTCTACCGCCCCCCCCCCCCCCCGAACGAAATGGAAGTTATATTGAAAATATATACTTTTAACAGTGTCCCCCTCCCTCGGAAATTTAAGTCCGCCCCCGGAGAAAAAAAGTCTGGAAGAAACACTGCAAGAAGGTGACTTATTTCTAAATAACGTTTATTGTTTAAAAAACAAAAAGTGACGCGCAAGGTGTTCCATACTTAAGCTACGCATCAGAAGAAGTAATGGTTGACCTTAGTAGATTAGTTTCATGTAATGGTTGGAATATTGATATATGTAAATGCTTCTTCTACGTAAAGCGAAGAAAACGAACAGATAAAATAGTTGTATCATTGATTTGAAAAAACATTGTGTTTGGTCAGATGTAATATGATCAGTTGCAGTATGGTCAGACGTTTATAAAAAGTTGAGTTTACCCACCTGTACAGGAATATGGCAGCAATGAGCACACCCACCAACAATACACCGCCCACCACCACGCCAGCGACGACGCCCACGATATCTGAAATTGTCCAACAAATCAATGTTAATCGCTATGGACACCGATTGGCTTTGAGCAGCTTAACCTCCTAATAAGACGCCCGCCTCGCTATAGCTGCCGCGGCTCATATTTTGATGGATTGGACCAGAACGGGGATCGAGCTCCGGGTAGCCCTCGCCTCTGCCTAGAATTGTCAGCTCTGTTTAGCATCGAGTCTGTCTCTAGCGGCTGTGATTGGTTTGAAAATGATGAGCGATTAAAAAATGATATTGGGTTGCTTCTCGAGTGATAAGACTGGGATGAGATTTTTTTGGTATAGTTTTTTTTGTAATGGAGATGAGGATATGATAGGTGGAGGGTGGAGGGGGGTTGAGATGGGGGTGGGTTGTGATGGATGAGGTGGCGTAGATGAAGGAGGTGTGGGCGGAGGAGGTTCGGGGAGGGGTGGGGGGAGGGTGAAGAAAGAGGTGCGAATTGGAGGGAGAAAAGAGACGAGTGGTGGAATGGAGGAGTGGAATAGAGGAGTGGAGTGGTGGAATGGAGGAGTGGAATAGAGGTGTGGAGTGGAGTGGTGGAATGGAGGAGTGGAATAGAGGAGTGGAGTGGAGTGGTGGAATGGAGGAGTGGAATGGAGGAGTGGAATGGAGGAGTGGAATGGAATGGTGGAATGGAGGAGTGGAATGGAGGAGTGGAACGGAGGAGTGGAATGGAGGAGTGGAATGGAGGAGTGGAATGGAGGAGTGGAATGGAGGAGTGGAATGGAATGGTGGAATAGAGGAGTGGAATGGAATGGTGGAATGGTGGAGTGGAGGAAGAGTGTGAAGGAATGGAGGGGTGTGCGTGTGTCTAATGCTCTAGGCACTGGCACAAATTCGACCCCCCCCCAACCCACGAGCCCACCTGACTAAAAATAAACCCGGCTCACCCAGAAGACCCTGTCCAAAAAAATTAAGCGCTCACGCTTAAGAAATGTGAAACGGGCGATCAATAGGATCACAAAACTATCCGGTCAAAGTGTCGTTTTATTTTTTAGCCATTTTTTTAATGTCACAGAGAGATTTGCGGTTTTAAAAGCTGAAGTACACATTTGTGATGTGTTTTATGTACGCACTTATAACTCGTATCCTGTACACATTTTGTTATTACTACACCTGTATTTTGTGATAATTCACCTGCTTTAAGATTTCGATGTTTTAGCTTGCGTACAATTTATAAAAGATTTCAAGATACGGACAATTTGTGGCATTTTTAACCGGCACGAAGATAAATTACTATATGATGTTTTACCTGTATGAAATATGTAATGCATTTATCAGTACAAAATTTTCGTGTCCAAAATATATAAAGTCCATATTTAGTGATTTATTTACCTGTAACCAATCAATGCGTGATATATTTACATGTAAACAATTTATGATATATTTACCTGTACTCACTTTATGATTTATATACCTGTACACAATGTATGACGTATTTACTTGTACACACTTTTGTAATTAATTGAACTTAAAAATCTTGCTGTGTTGTGTGTTTACCTGTACAAAATGTACCTGTACACACTTTACAATACATGTACATATGTTGTGATGAATTTACCTGTACAAAATTAACTTGTACGCATTTTATGATGTATTCACCTGTACAAAATGTACGAGTGCACACTTTACAATGCATGTACACATTTGATGATGTATTAACCTGTACAAAATGTACGAGTACACACTTTACAATGCATGTACACATTTGATTTACCTGTACAAATTTTCCCCGGGAAATGACAGTCCAGGTCTGACGTGGGCACTGGGCCGTTGGGCCAGGCGATGGCCCCCAGCTGCAGGAGCTCGGCTTCTGCTGTTACCATGGCGACGACGGACTGTGAGTAGAGCAGTGAGTGGTTGGTCCTCCTGGTTCCGTGGGCGTCAAACTCCAGGGGGCCTGTCTTCAGGTATTGCCCCGTGGGTAGGGCTGTGGACGGTACGTGGGGGTGGGGGTAGGTTAGGTACAGAACAAATACCAGCGGGCCTGTCTTCAGGTACTGGCCCGTAGGTAGGGCTGTGGACGGTACGTGGGGGTGGGGGTAGGTTAGGTACAGAACAAAAACCAGGGGGCCTGTCTTCGGGTACTGGCCCGTGGGTAGGGCTGTGGAAGGTACGTGGGGTGGGGGTGGGGGTAGGTTAGGTACAGAATAAACACCAGGGGGAAGGTACGTGGATTTGGGTGGTAGGTACAGGATAAACAAGAATGTAGATCTTGTTATCAAGTTGGTTGAGGTTGTAGTGGGTCATCAATACATAGTGAAAGTATAGGCCTTGCTGTTAATGTCATAGTTTAACATTGCTGATATATTTTGACTTAATGTCTCTACATTATTGGTATAAAGGTCGTCCATAAACACTGCCACTTTCAGAGGGGGGTGTCGTGACTATCTGCGACGAGGGGAGCGGGGAGATTTTCAGAAAGTGTGACTAGAAACTGTTGTATTATAAACAAAAAATATAAATAAAAGGAACAAAATTTTGGTATTTATTTCGCATTTAAACAACTTGTTATGTAAATAGTAAGAAAAAATGGATCAAAATACTTAATGTTCATCAAGGTCAGTAAATATTTTATAAAGATATCCTTGTTTAGGGATATTGGTGACGTCATTTTAGGGGAATATGTTTTTTTTGTGACGATATGTGACAATGGGGAAGGCGAGGATAAGACTCCATTTAAAAAAGTGTGCTGTCGTTTATTGATGACCCCTTTTAATCTCGCTTTTTACTGGAACAGTGTCGTTGTAGTCAGGTGTAATCTCGTCATGTTGATGTCATAGTTCAGTCACGCTCTCGTTACATTCTCATTACATTCCCGTTACATTATTGTTACATCCCCATTACATCCCATGCCATTCTATTACAACCCATAACATCCAGTTACATTATTGTTACATTCCCATTACATTCTATTACCTCCCGTTACATCCCATAACATCCTCGTTATATTCCGAGTATATCCCGTTACAACCCAATACATTACAGTCACAACCTATTACATCCTATTACATTCCCATTACATCCCATTACATCCTATTACATTCCCGTTAAATCCCACTCACCTGGTAATTGACGGCCGAGCTGTCGACTGGCTGACGACATCACAGAAAGAAGAATGGCGTCGTGGAGGTAGGGCGCCAACATCATCTGGGGAGGCAAGGGTTCGAACCTTTAAAACATTATCTAACACCACCACAGATATAACTTGTTGTGGGGTGGGGGGGGGGTGGAGCAGACTAGAGGGGAAGAATGTGGTCGAGTCACATGGATGGATGGGTTGAGGAAAGGGGAGTGATGTGACGTTTTGGTTAACATTTTGGATTAAAAACTTTAACAGTCGAGATATGACGTCAGGTTTTTAAAAAAGTTTTCTTTAAAAAGAAAAGAAAAAAAAAACAATACAAAAATAACGGAGTAAAACAAAAAACAACTTGAAGAGTCTTGGGTATAATTTTAAAATTGTTCCTTTCGATTATACCTGCTCGCATAGGTCTGTTTGATTGTAATTTGAGTTAAATATATTTCTCGGGGATACCAATTTTAAGATACCCTGTCCATGTAGCAGGTGAAGTAGAGTTCATCTGTTTCTGCGACCTCGGCATAATATTTACATTTACATTTCCTAACATGCGTCAGGTACCCACCACAGCTGGGTGAACTCAGGGATAGCATAAACTCAAGCCCGGGATCCGAACTCGAGACTTTCGGGTCAGCAACGATATGCTCTACCACCCCACCCCGTCAGCCATTGACATATATGAGCCTAGTTAATCAACGTGTGCATCAATTGTGAAACAATTATTTTAAGAACTGACCTGTGTCCTGATGTACAAGTCATCTCTTGATGAGCCGCTCCTCCGCTGAGTGCTCGAGGTGGCCACGATGGCCGGGAAAGGAAAGTGGCCAAGCTGGAGCACCGTGGCCAACAGATTTCGCTGGGAATTTTTTTTGGACGGAACTTTGGCCATCGGGGTGATGTCGAAGTTGAGGTACAAAAATGCGTAGTAGCCGGAAGTCATGTCCAGCACTTCCGCTTCCTGTAGGATGGTTTCCATGGTGATTGGTTGGGAACAGACGACCAGAGCTTTAGTGGTGATGTAGAATTTAGATAAACGTTAATCGATATTAGGTTAGTGGTAGTTGGTGTATTGTTAACTGAGAAGTTTTGGTTAGTGGTAGTTGGTGCATTGTTAAGTGAGAAGTTTTGGTTAGTGGTGGTTGGTTAATTGTTAACTGAGAAGTGATGTAGAAGTTGGATAATCGTTAATAGATATTAGGTTAGTGGTAGTTGGTGTATTGTTAACTGAGAAGTTTAGGTTAGTGGTAGTTGGTGTATTGTTAACTGAGAAGTTTTGGTTAATGGTAGTTGGTTTATTGTTAACTGAGAAGTTTTGGTTAGTGGTAGTTGGTTTATTGTTAACTGAGAAGTTTTGGTTAGTGGTAGTTGGTTTATTGTTAACTGAGAAGTTTTGGTTAATGGTAGTTGGTGAATTGTTAACTGAGAAGTTTTGGTTAGTGGTAGTTGGTGTATTGTTAACTGAGAAGTTTTGGTTAATGGTCGTTGGTATATTGTTAACTGAGAAGTTTTGGCTAGTGGTAGTTGGTGTATTGTTAACTGAGAAGTTTTGGTTAATGGTAGTTGGTTTATTGTTAACTGAGAAGTTTTGGTTAGTGGTAGTTGGTTTATTGTTAACTGAGAAGTTTTGGTTAGTGGTAGTTGGTTTATTGTTAACTGAGAAGTTTTGGTTAATGGTAGTTGGTGTATTGTTAACTGAGAAGTTTTGGTTAATGGTCGTTGGTATATTGTTAACTGAGAAGTTTTGGCTAGTGGTAGTTGGTTGATTGTTAACTGATAAGTTTTGGTTAATGGTAGTTGGTGTATTGTTAACTGAGAAGTTTTGGTTAGTGGTAGTTGGTGTATTGTTAACTGAGAAGTTTTGGTTAGTGGTAGTTGGTTAATTGTTAACTGAGAAGTTTTGGTTAATGGTAGTTGGTGAATTGTTAACTGAGAAGTTTTGGTGAATGGTAGTTGGTGTATCGTTAACTGAGAAGTTTTGGTTAGTGGTAATTGGTGTATTTTAACTGGAAAGTTTTAGTTAATGGTAGTTGGTGTATTGTTAACTGAGAAGTTTTGGTTAGAGGTAGTTGGTGTATTGTTAACTGAGAAGTTTTGGTTAGTGGTAGTTGGTGTATTTTAACTGGAAAGTTTTAGTTAATGGTAGTTGGTGTATTGTTAACTGAGAAGTTTTGGTTAGAGGTAGTTGGTGTATTGTTAACTGAGAAGTTTTGGTTAGCGGTAGTTGGTTTATTGTTAACTGAGAAGGTTTGGTGAATGGTAGTTGGTTTATTGTTAACTGAGAAGTTTTGGTTAGTAGTAGTTGGTTTATTGTTAACTGAGAAGTTTTGGTTAGTGGTAGTTGGTTTATTGTTAACTGAGAAGTTTTGGTTAGTGGTAGTTGGTTTATTGTTAACGGAGAGGTTTTGGTTAGAGGTAGTTGGTTTATCTATAACTAGGAAGTTTTGGTTAGTGGTAGTTGGTGTATTGTTAACTGAGAAGTTTTGGTTAGTGGTAGTTGGTTTATTGTTAACTGAGAAGTTTTGGTTAGTGGTAGTTGGTTTATTGTTAACTGAGAAGTTTTGGTTAGAGGTAGTTGGTTTATCTATAACTAGGAAGTTTTGGTTAGTGGTAGTTGGTGTATTGTTAACTGAAAAGTTTTGGTTAGTGGTAGTTGGTTTATCTATAACGAAAAAATTTTGGCTAGTGGTAGTTGGTTTATTGTATACATCTCTTCCCTAGAACTAGAATGTTCTCTTTTATTTTTATTTTTTTAAATTTATACAATTTTTTCCCCAATATCCAACAAAGTATCATATGGGATAGCGTGGCCTAGCGGTAGAGAGCTAGACTGCTAACCCGAAAAGTTTCGAGTACGAATCCGGGTTGAAGTCAGTAGAATGTCACGAGTCCACCCAGCTCTGATGGGTACCCAACTCACGTAAGTTAAACAAAGGCAGCTGGGCTGACCACATTACCCTTTCATATAGAAGCAGATGAACTTTACTTCATCTGCCCCAAGTGTCTTAGGCACGAACGGGAAAAGATGATGATATGAACAAAGTATTGTGGTAAAACTATTTTTGGTCATATCTCTTAACACCATTGCAGTGCTTGTTTCTTTTCAATAAGTGCTTAATATAATAAAACACAAATGTAAAGCCTTATAGATCAGTATGGTTCTGGGGAAGCGATATACGATAACACAATCATATTGTATAGCCTAGTAATCAACAAAAGTGTAGTTAGAACGGTCTGGTTTTGGGAAAACGATATACGAGGACACAAATGCAAAGCCTTCTTGTGAACAAAACTGTTGTTAGATTAGTCTGGTTCTGAGAAAGCGATATACGATAACACAAATGTAAAACCTTGTTGTGAACAAAAGTATAGTTAGAACAGTCTGGTTCTGAGAAAGCGGTATACGATTAAATAAAGTGCTCCTGGGTGATTGTGAGCTACACCCTGGCTTCTATGTACTCACTCCTGGTCAGCTGTTTAACACGTCTCAGCCCTTCAGTCAGCGGCTTGAGATCCCCCGCACGTAGCCTGACCACCGCCGCCTCGGTCACGTGATCCCCGGCTTGCAGGAACTGTAGGATCTCTTCCTTCAAGAACTCACACACGCCGTCCTCGTCGTACAGGATGGCTGGCGAGGAGAGACAAAGTTCCGTAACTCTCGATTGTTTTATTAATTTTTAAATAAAATAAAAGCTGTGTTGAGTTGTCTCCCTTATCGTAAGCCTATAAAATCGGACAAGGGGATAAATAACTTAGGCCTGTAACATGTTTGATTAATTAAATGTAGGGCCAAGGTATTAAACAAGTGGGTTTAAGATGGAGCCCAGGTTTTCAAAAAAAAAAAAAACTATAGACAAACCCTCCTAAATTTCAAGAAGTGGACCAGTCCTCAACAAAAGGAAGGGGTTTTTATACAACCAAACATGAGATCCAAGCAATAACAAAACGTTGGTGCCTATCAACAATCAGTCCGTAAATCAAGTCAGGTAAGCGCCTCGCTATTTAATTCAATCAAGCTAACTGTTAGCCTAAACAAAGGTCCCAGCAATCACCCAATCCCGGGCAAGACAACTAACAAAACAATCAAGGACCCACAATTAACAAAACAAGAAAAGGCGAAGCAATCAACCATGTAAGCAAGGGCCCCCATAATAAACAAAACAAGCACGTTGCCTCCCAAGCAGCCAAACTGTAAAGAGTCTCACAATTAGTGTTTCTTTCGGACATTGTTTTCTATGGGGGATGGGGGACTTGAAACTTCTGGGATGGGGGGGGGGGGCGTACTAAGTTTTTCGGTGGAAGAGGGCACTGGTAAAAGTATTATTATTTTCGATATAATTATTTTTTTCGTTTGAGGGTTGGAAGTGGTTGTGATACGGGGCGTTTGGGGTGGGGGAGGGGAGTGGAACAGTGCCCCCCCCCCCGAAAAGATACATGAAAGAAACTCTGCCCACAACGAACCTGAGCATAGGGTCGACAAAGCAACCAAACAAGCAATGGGCCCAACATTAAATACAACAAGCATGGATCCATACAATCTACCAAACGCAAAAGCGGTCCAATAAAACAACAATAACAACGGGCCATCACAAACAAACAAAAACGAACAAGGGTTCCAATAAACAACTAAAGCAAAGGGCCACCGACAAAAAAAAAAACGAAAAAGGGGCCCAATAAACAACTAAAGCAAAGGGGCCACCGACAAAAAAAAGTAACAAAACGAATAAGTGGCCCAATCAACAACTAAAGCGAAGCGCCAACGACAAACAAAATAAACCGGGAGTGATCTCCCCTAAACTTTCTCGAATATTCTTATATAAAATAACAGGGGATGGGAACTCGGGCTATAGACATGATTTTTAATCCATTTTAAATACTTAAAGTTTTAAAAATAGAATAAAATCTCGTAGACAAATTAATTGCACACCAAGTGAACGCGAAATAAAAAAGCGCATAATAGTGCGCAATATTATTATTACTTTTAAAATTTACATTAGTTTTTTGAGAAATCGGAAGTAGCGTAAATAACTACTTCCGGTCAACGGAAATGACTCAAAATTTAATAGAAGGTAGAGAATTAGATCTTTTACTTACGTATGAAATTTCATTTATCTATCTGAAATAGTACTCAAGTTATAGGCTTTTGAAAAATTCATAGTAGGAAAAGTACCACTTCCGGTTATCGGAAATCGCTCAAAAGTTGATACGGATCTACGATTTTGATTAAATACTTATATATGAAATTTCATCAACCTAGCTGTAACGGTACTCAAGTTATCGTGTTTACACACGGACACACACACACACACACACACACACACACACAGACACACAGACATACGGACAAGATTGCAAAATTATGTTTTTCCGTATCAGTGAGATGCAAAACGTCGAGATTTGCAAAAATCTCGATTTTTTTTTTTGCACGATTACAAGACTTTCTCTATACTTCGTATATACGAGAAAGTAAAAAAACGAACAAGGGCTTTAATAAAAAAAAAACTAAATCAAAGGGCCACCGACAAAAAACAACGCAGCTCACCAATTTTCGTCCATCTCAAATGCCTCATGACGACAACGGCCGAGCGAGCCAAATCTTCAAATGACCCAAAGGTGGACATGACGTCATCTCTCCGACTGTGCTCGATGACCTCCCTGTTGAGGGGCGCCCACGTGACCACCGGAATCTTCCAGAAAGATCCCAAAAGGGCGACCACTCGCAGTGCTAGAAATTGAAGGGAAAAAAACAACGAAAATATAGAAACTACCGATACCGACGCCAAGAATAAATAAAGAGGGTAAGGCATTTACAGGAGGAAAATGTGATTAATGTGAATGAAGACCTCAAAAATGTTACGATCGACCTTTCGTTCTCCAAACACGATTCAAGGCACTGTTCAAACCTGTTTTTTTTAAATATGTCATCTTTATAAAACCACACGTCCTCGACCCTAGCAGCTACCAACAAGACCCTAGCAGCTACCAACAAGACCCTAGCCGCTACCAACAAGCCCTCGACCCTAGTCACTACCAACAAGCCCTCGACCCTAGTCACTACCAACAAGCCCTCGACCCTAGTCACTACCAACAAGCCCTCGACCCTAGCAGCTACCAACAAGCCCTCAACCTTAGCCGCTACCAACAAGCCCTCGTCCCTAGCCGCTACCAACAAGCCCTCGACCCTAGCCGCTACCAACAAGCCCTCGACCCTAGCCGCTACCAACAAGCCCTCGTCCCTAGCCGCTACCAACAAGCCCTCGACCCTAGTCACTACCAACAAGCCCTCGACCCTAGCAGCTACCAACAAGCCCTCAACCTTAGCCGCTACCAACAAGCCCTCGTCCCTAGCCGCTACCAACAAGCCCTCGACCCTAGTCACTACCAACAAGCCCTCGACCCTAGCAGCTACCAACAAGACCCTAGCCGCTACCAACAAGCCCTCGACCCTAGCCGCTACCAACAACCCCCTTAAAATCGTTCACTCCAGCTTTTATACCCGCACTTGACCTTGGGATAACAATACCTAAACACACCGGGGTGAACTGTATTCACACACACCGCTCCCCTACGTTCTGAACTATTCTAACCTATTCTAATCTAACCTACAACTGACCCGTAACGATTAACATAATAAAAATTAACTTAATAATTAATTAAACCTTAAACAAAAGGTAGTTCGATTGAGTCATACATTTATAAAACAGAAACCGGTGATCAGAAAAAATATTCCGTCCATCGATACCATTGTAAACTTACCATTCAGTAAACCACTGAAACCTCTCACGAATATAAATACATTTGAATGTATAATCCAGAGAAGACGGGAGGCGTGCACGTTAATTAGCAGTAACCTTAATAAGCGACGTGACGCACCACAATAGACGTACATCATCACAACACGCCAGATCCACCAAACTTATTATTCTATGGTGCACACAGTCACACAATACTCCCGCCCCCAGAGGCGTAGCGACCCTTCCCTGCGCCCGGGGACAAACTTTCGATTTGCACCCCCCCTCGAAATTTTGGTTTGCATCCCCCCCTCAAACTTTCAATTTGTTTTTCCAACCCATTTTGGCGCCCCCTAAGGTCGGCGCCCGGGACCATATGTTCCCCCCCCCCCCCCCGCCCCCCTCGCTACGCCTCTGCCCGGCCCCCTCTCCACCACCTATATAATCCAACTGTGTACGCCGTCACACAATTCTACCCCCCCCCCCCTACATCCTTGAAGAAATAGCGTTCCACGACAGCTGAACTCTTACATAGACCCCCCCCCCCCTATCTTCTCTATGCTGGTCCTCTGAGAAAAGATATTTAGCCAAGGACACCAAAATAAGAAATTCTTCTACCCCCCCCCCCCCCCCACGGGACGGAGCAGGGGCTAGCATCAGCCCAAGACTTCCACACCGGGAGTGTCCATTGTATAAAATACCTCACTAAAAAGGGTTAGATAGAAACAAAACACCTAACCCAAACTCAAAAGTGAATGAAAACCCCGAACCCTAAGAGAATGAAAACCCTTACAGAAGAGAATGAAAACCCTTACAGAAGAGAATGAAAACCCTTACAGAAGAGAATGAAAACCCTTACAGAAGAGAATGAAAATCCTTACAGAAGAGAATGAAAACCCTAACAGAAGAGAATGAAAATCCTAACAAAAGAGAACAAAACCCCAAACTCTAACAGAAGAGAATAAAAAACCCAAACCCTAACAGAAGAGAATGATAACCCCGAACCCTAAAGGAAGAGAATAAAAAACCCAAACCCTAACAGAAGAAAATGAAAAACCCAAACCCTAACAGAAGAAAATGAAAAACCCAAACCCTAACAGAAGAGAATAAAAAACCCAAACCCTAACAGAAGAGAATGAAAAACCCAAACCCTAACAGAAGAGAATGAAAACCCCAAACCCTAACAGAAGAGAATGAAAACCCCAAACCCTAACAGAAGAGAATGAAAACCCCAAACCCTAACAGAAGAGAATGAAAACCCCAAACCCTAACAGAAGAGAATGAAAACCCCAAACCCTAACAGAAGAGAATGATAACCCCGAACCCTAACTGAAGAGAGCAAAACCCTAACCGCTAACAGAAGATAATGAAAACCCTGAACCCTAAAACCCCAATCAAACCACCACAAACGAATCTCGCCACTCACGCGCCAGACAAAGCACGTGCGTTCATTGATTGCTGCTGCTCATTCTTCCTGGTCAGTGATGGCGCCAGGTCTGCAGTCTGTCTGGTGGAGTCTGTCTGGTCTGGGATGTTGTTGTCTTGTTGCAGGGTTTGTGTAGATGGATTTGTTTACAAAATGTGTAGACGTAGGTTTAGAAATGTGTACAATGTATGTGAATAGATCTCTTAGTATCGATACCTTTTTAAGAGTATGATATATATATATATATATATATATATATATATATATATATATATATATATATATATATATATATATATATATATATATATATATATATATGTGTGTGTGTGTGTGTATGGGTAGTTTATTGTATAAATGTATGTATAAAATACATTCTCAGATATTGAGTATTGTTGTGAGATTCAAAAAATCTCATTTCTGTTTGGTCCAGTCGATAATATCAACTGTATTTGTGTAGTCTATAATATCAACTGTCTAGTCCCAGATATCAATTTCTAGTCCCAGATATTGACTGATTATCCCAGTAATTATTGACTGTTTATCCCAAAAAATATCGACTGTCTAGTCCAAGATATCGACTGTCTAGTCCGATATATAGACTGTTTATCCCAAAAAATATCGACTGTTTACGTCTAGTCAAAATTATCGACTATTTTCGTCTTGTTCTAGATGTTCGACCATGTTTATGTCTACCAAGCCGGCGGATGTAAACAGCAATCTATCGACTTTCCTGTTCCTCGCCCGCATCTAATAGAGTTAATCAAACAGATCTAAATAACACTGTCTACAGACGTACACGCCGTATTACAGCATAGCTAGCGAGATTGTAGGGGGGAAAAATCACAGGAAAACATAGTCACAGAAAAAAAGTCACAGAAAAAAGCACATAGTGTATTAAGTATTCAGAAAGTACAAAGATACGATTAATTAAATGGATTGTAAACATTTAGATATGCGCGTAGGTTGGACTAGTTTATATGGTAATATTTAAAACACGCGTAAACATATTTAGTCTGAAGTACGTCGGTATTAATTCCGTCATATTTATATATATAATATTTAAAATAATTAAGTACAATATATTGGAGTGTTTAAAACAGCTCAGTTTTCATCGTGTTGTTTTTTTCAATAATATCTTTGATAATAATAACTTTGATAAACTTGGAATGGGAAAAAGACAGTTAATATGATTCGCTGTTCCAGCTCATTGCAACAATACTTCAAGCACCTTTAATGTCCAAGTGTATCACTCTCACTAAATGACAAATCATAGGATCGTGACAAAAAGCCGACATGGTATAAAGGCTGTCATTGACGCCAGTGTCCTCAATACACAGTGTGGACGGACAAGGCCGAACATGGACAGTTCTACGTTTTAAAAAAAAAAAAAAAAAAAAAAAAAAAAAAAACACAAAACTCAATGAAGTGCCAAAATTTCATTTGAAAATAATTTTTCAACTGGGCATTGAAATAAATATGTAGCAAAATTTGAGGCGGCGGTGTTATAGTATTTTTACTTATTAAGAAGATCAAAGTAGAATCATTATTATAAACCACAATGTTTTTAAAATTTATAAATGTTAAAAAAAAACCCTACAATTTAAAGTTTGAATATTTAACATAGTTGTTTAGCAAACATGCTCTACTGTTGCAATGTCCTTAATCTACATGGATTAGTGACCAACAAATCCTATCTAATTTACGACCAATAGCGATTAGTCAATATAGTCATCTGATGAATGAACACTAGCCTATATGGTATCATCGTCACCATTTCACGTTCGCTCCCAAGACACATTGGGCAGATGAAGTAGAGTTCATTTGTTTCATTGACCTCGGCATACAGGAGGATAGTGTGGTCAGCACTATGTCCCGCCGTCTTAGTGTCCCTAACTTAAGTCAGGTACTCAACATATCTAAATGGGCAGACGTTTGAATGTCTCGAACTCCGGACGTTCGTGTTAGCAATCATAAGCTCCATCCCCCAACCACGCCGTTCCCTATATGGTAAACTGGCCAGCAAAACCAACCTATATGATCAAATGACAAGAAACCAAAACTTATATGTTCTACTGTTCAACATAACTTATCCTTTGTAGGGCGGACCGATAAGGCGACGAATGATGCGAATTCTGTGATAGATTAGCTCAATTAGAGTAGCTTCCCCTGCCCCGTGTTGCGCAATTGTCAGAAATGCTGTCATACATTGTAGTGTCGTGATTGGTACAAGGGTGACGTTTCTCTTCACAACAAAACTGTGAGTTAGTAACACAACACAACACTACAAAACTGTGAGTTAGTAACACAATACAACACCCCAAACTGTGAGTTAGTAACACAATACAACACCACAAAACTGTGAGTTAGTAGCACAATACATCACAATACCACAAACTGTGAGTTAGTAACACAACACAACACAACACCACAAAATTGTGAGTTAGTAACACAACACCACAAAACTGTGAGTTAGTAACGCAATACACAACTGTGAGTTAATAATACAACACATCAAAAATGAAGTAATACAACACATCAAAACTGTGAGTTAGTAACACACCACAG